TGCTTCATCGCCCGCAATTCAGGTGTATACCAAGGGGAAGAGCGGGCGATGAAGCAGGTTGGGAGACGGCTAGAGCATAGGTGGAGGAAATCACGGGATGAATCTGACCGAACACACTTGAGAGCCCATTATCGGGCCTGTGCTGTGGCGGTGAGGGCGGCGAAAAAGAAATTCTTTTCCGTTTCCATTGGCTCCTCACAATGCCGTTCGGCGGAGCTTTTTCGAGTGGTGCAAGGCCTGGTTCGTCCAGGTCCTAAGAAAAATCCGGTTCCACCCTCGAAGGCCCGCTGTGACGACTTTGCCAAGCATTTCGGGGAGAAAATCGCTCAGATTCGTCACAAGCTGGACTCTACTAGTGACTCAGAGGTTTCTGGGGAGATACCAATGCTGCCATCTGGTCCAAAATTAATGGATGAATTTCAGTTATTGCGGCCCGATGATGTGGACAAGGTGCTTGGACGAGTACGTCCCACCACTTGCCTATTGGACCCTTGCCCGTCTTGGTTAATAAATAATTCCAAGCTCGGGATTGGGATCTGGATCTTGGAAGTGGTTAACGCTTTTCTGAGGGAGGGTCGGGTGCCTGCCCCTTTAAAGGAGGCAGTAGTCCGACCGGTCCTGAAGAAAGCGTCACTGGATCCAGAGATGGCCACTAATTATAGACCAGTGGCCATCATCCCGTTTCTGGGCAAGGTGTTGGAGCGGGTGGTGGCGGGACAACTCCAAGCTCTCTTGGATGAAACTGATTATCTGGACCCATTTCAGTCCGGCTTCAGACCCGGGTACGGTACTGAATCTGTCTTGGTCGCCCTGTACAATGACCTGTGCAGGGAGAAGGACAGGGGGAGTGCGTCCCTGTTGGTTCTTCTGGACCTCTCAGCAGCTTTCGATACCATCGACCAGGGAATCCTTCTGGATAGGCTAGCGGGATTGGGGGCCGGAGGCACTGCTTTGCAGTGGTTCCGCTCCTATCTCAACGGCCGTTTCCAGAAGGTGGTGCTGGGGGACTGTGGCTCTGCGCCATGGCAGCTATGCCATGGAGTCCCGCAGGGCTCTATTTTGTCCCCTTTGCTGTTTAACATCTACATGAAACCGCTGGGAGAGGTCAGCAGGAGGTGTGGGCTGCGGAATCATCAGTACGCTGATGATACCCAGCTCTACCTCTCGTTTTCAACCAATCCAGGTGAGGCGGTGGCTGTGCTGAACCAGTGCCTGGCCGAGGTAATGGGATGGATGAGGGCCAATAAACTGAAGCTCAATCCAGACAAGACGGAGGTCCTGTTGGTTGGCAGATCGGGCTTCAGTGAGGGTGAATTGAACCTTGTCCTGAATGGGGTTGCACTCCCTCCTAGGGACAAGGTCCGCAGCTTGGGAGTGCTCCTCGACCCAGAGCTTTCATTGGAAGCTCAGGTGACAGCGGTGGCGAGGAGCGCCTTCCTTCAGCTTCGGCTGATCTATCAGCTGCGCCCCTACCTGGAGAACGACTGCCTGGCGACAGTGACACACGCGCTGGTGACTTCCCGCCTTGACTTCTGTAATGCGCTCTACGTGGGGCTACCCTTGAAGACGGTCCGGATACTTCAATTGGTTCAAAATAGAGCTGCCAGGCTGCTGACGGGGACTGGTTGTTATGTTCACATGACTCCAGTTCTCCATCAGCTTCAATGGCTTCCCATTGAAGTTCGGGACCAATTCAAGGTGTTGGTGATGACCTATAAGGCCCTAAACGGCTTGGGTCCTGGTTACCTGAAGGAGCGCTTACGTCCATATATGCCCGCCCACCCCGAGATCAGCAGGAGAGGCCCTTCTCCGGGAACCTTTCGTGAAGGAAATTAGGAGGGTAGGTACTCGGAGAAGGGCTTTCTCTGCGGTGGCGCCCAATCTATGGAATGCGCTTCCCAGAGAGGTCCGCCTGGTGCCGACGTTATTTGTTTTTCGGTGCCAGGCGAAGACCTTTTTATTCAAAAATCATTTTAACTGTTAATACTATTTATTTATTTTATTCTTCGGCCAGGGTGACTTATTTTATATTGTTAACCTGTTTTATATTTTTACTGTATAATATTTCAATTGATATATTTGTGAGCTGCCCCGAGGCTTCGGCGAACGGGGCGGCATACAAATTTTCTAAATAAAACAAACAAAGAAATATTTTAGCTTAGAACTCCCAGGAAAGGCTTTCTGGAAGGAAGAGGAGAGCATAAAAAGCCAAGAATTCATCCAGTGATATGGAGGGGACTGTGAAATGCTCACTCAGGGACCCCAGAAGGACTGTAGCTGGGTCCTGCGATTCTCCCTCCTTGCAGCAGAAGCACTCAGCTTTGCCTGATGGGACAAGGGTTGAGCGGAGAGCTATTGGGAACTTTGGGAATCTGCGGAGGAGAGAACCCTTCCCCAGCCAGCCCTTCTCCCTCGCCTCCCTCGGGGCCTCCCGCACCGGAACTGTCCCACCGCACAGAGCAGCCGCATCACACCCTCTCACCTGACTGGTCCCACTCCAAGCAGGTGACAATTTCAACATGTCCCGTGTCAATGGAGCAGACATCCCAGGGGTGCTCTGTGTCGAGGATGTGGATCATGTGGGTGAGATCTAAGGAGGGAAACCGGAGAAAGAAAGGGCCGAAATGAACGCCCAAAAGAAGGAACAAAGGCACACACCGCAAGGATGAGTGGCTGCCAGAGATGCCGTCCTGAGCAGAGGGGGCAAAACTGGCCTTTGGCAGCATAAACGAGCCCTCCCCAACTTGATGCCCTCCAAATATACTGGACTACAGCTCCCATGATCCTTAGCCAGCTTGGTTATTCCACGGGGGACAGTTTCCTAGTAAGATTCAGAAGACGCCCACAAAGAAATGCATGAAGACTTGGGCATATACCGTGTTTCCCCGATAATAAGACCGGGTCTTATATTAATTTCTGCTCCAAAAGATGCATTAGGGCAAGGGTCCTCAAACTAAGGCCCATGGGCCAGATCCAGCCCACCATGCCCTTTTAACCGGCCCACCCCACAGGTTTTGCACCCAATGGGCGTGCGTGCAGCTTGCTCGCGAGGAGGTCGTTTTGGATTCAATCGGAGAAAATGAGCTCCTCACGAGCAAGCTGGCACCTCGCCCTGCGCAACCCCCCCCACCTCGCCTCGCCCTTGGCCACCGCTGGCAACTGGCCCCCTGTGCAGGAAGTTTGAGGACTCCTGATCTAGGGCTTATTTTCAGGTGATGCCTTATTTTTTCATGTACAACAATCTACATTTATCCATTCATTCATGTACAAAAATCTACATTTATTCAAATACAGTCATGTCATCTTCTGGAACACTGTCCTAACTCACCAAACCCCAAATTGTGTTGCAACAGACATACTAAGTGTGTCCGTCTGGCTGACGATCTTAACTGGGGCTTATTTTGGGGGTAGGGCTTATATTACGAGTATCCTGAAAAATCGTGCTAGGGCTTATTTTCCAGTTATTTTCAGGGAAACAGGGTATCACAACAAGCAACCCTGTGTAGTTATCACGGTTCTTTATCGTGATCAGCCAGACTATGTCACAGGGTTGTTGTGGTGAGGATAAAGTGGAGAGCTGGATAGCTCAGTACGCTGCCTTGAGTTCTGCCCAAAAGTGGAAGATAAATGCAGTATAATAATAATTTTCATTGGGTGGGCAGTCTTTTTCTCCTGGCACTTTGTGTCTTCAAACCATGTTTCCTGTCTTGCTGCCAAAAAAGGGGTAAAGATTATTAAAAGAGTATTTTATTTGCTAATATTATTTATTGATTTTACATCTTTGTCCAGGACGTCTTCAATTATATTGTTTTTATATTGTTATTATTTATTCATTGTTGTGAGCCACCCCAAGGCTTCGGCGAATGGGGCGGCATAGCAGCTTTCTAAATAAATAAATACCTCGGCAGGCAGACCAACCGCCCATACGAAATTACCTTTTTCCTCTTCATTTTTCAGGTCAGTGGTGAAAGCAATAAGGTTGCGACAGGACCAGGCACAGACCAGTGGGATGGATGGGCAGTAGTTATTCTTGGGGCGCTTCTCCCATTCGCAGACGTATCCTAGATCCATCGCATCTCCCCGGGATGAGCCGCACGGGGACACTCTCCAGATGCAATCTCTGCTTGGAATCAAAGAAACATCACTGATGAACGAAGTCGTTATGCTAACCTGGTACCCTCCGTGCATTTTGGGGCAAAAATTCTATAAGGCTCTAGTCAATGCAGGGTCTATATCCTTGTTACCCAACATGCAAGTACGATTTAACCAGGAAACTCATGGGACATCCCAACACCATTTTTATGGCATTTAAGGTGCGATCCTATGAAGTTTAGGATCACGGGAAAAGGATCCGCAGGGAGCTGTAGGCCTTTTTTTCTTTAATTTGCCTGGGATAGCACCCTTAGCTTTTCCTGCTTTGCTTCTCTGAGCATTTTGAACATGCTACCTGCAACCTTGTCTAACTACTGATATTGCTATGCTTGTCTTTAAGCTAATATGATTTTCAGGTTGAAAACTGGATCTGGCTGATTTGATAAAACCTTGGGTGGTGGTCTTTGAACTGGTCTTACTTTATTGTTATTATTATTAATTTATTTTTATGTCCTGCTTTTTTCTTTAAAAATAAAAGTGGCTTATATCACTGCCTTATCCCAACTTTAGCCTTAATCGCAACCTGAATCCAGACTCATGGTATGGTCCTCCTTCGTATGATGATTTCTGGAGATTGCAAGTGGTTGGCCAAGAAGGGAGTATGCGAAGCTCTGCAGCCATGTTTTTGCATGTTTTTTCACGTGTCTGCATGCACATCGACACAACGCGAGCTGCATTTGCAAACCATTTTGGCAGCTATGGTGCTTTATCCGCACATGCTTTCTCTCAACCCTGGAGAGATTCCAGTGTTGCAAACCAGTTCAAACAAACGACAATCGGGATCTATAAAGGATGAACATTGCATGGTTTTCCTCCATCGGAATGCTAGGAAAACTCATCACCACTACGACCAATAGCTTCGAGGCCAATTTAGCATCCACTTGCATTTATAACTTCTGTGCAAGAATGCAGCTGTGCTCTCCTTCCTCTTCCCCCCGCCGCCACAAATGAACTCCTTCCATAGCTTTCCTACTTACCCAGCACCCTTCCAGCTGCCCTACCTCCCTGCGCCTGCGCAGGCTGCCTTTGGCATGCTAAGGACACCCTCCTCTACTGCTGTCTAAGTGAGTGCCTGATAAAAGTGCCCAAACAAAAATAAAGTTAACTACATGACCCTCCTGAGAAGTATACTTCTTCTTGGGTAAAAACTATCCCACTTACTGGGGCGGATTCAAATGTCCGTTTCTTTTTGGGTAGTTTAATAGACAGATGGCTTGCATGGGAGGACCCTGAAAAGTCCTGCTAATCTAATCCTAACATAGGAAAGTGCTGATTTGCATACGCAGATTCCCGTCGTGCTGTGCAAGGCGTATGGAAGAATAAAAAGCTTGCCAATTTACCCTGAAACTAATTTATTCCAGGAAGAGACGACGAGTACGTGTGGAATAGCTTGAAGAAATTGATAAGTTAGGTTCATCAGTATCTACCATGACTTTAGCAGTGTAATTAGCGGAAGGGTTTAAAGGAGAAGCGTGTTAGGGCTAAGTTTGTGCTCGCTTCGGCAGCACATATACTAAAATTGGAACGATACAGAGAAGATTAGCATGGCCCCTGCGCAAGGATGACACGCAAATTCGTGAAGCGTTCCATATTTTTTCTCGTGTAGCAAAAATCTCCTTGCCAGTTCACCAACCCGTCCAGACTGTCCACCTTCCCGGCATCAATGAACAATTTCTGTCCTCGTCCTTTTTATTCCACCCTTTATAAATCTCAAAGCATAAGGGATTGCATACAAAAGTTTTAAATAAACAAATCGATTATTAGCAAAACCTAGTACTATCACTTGCTTTTTAATCCCTTTCCTTGCTTTTCAGGCAAGCTTTCAAGTTATCTTTAACCAAAAGTTGCAGATTGACTGATCCGTGCACCCAGAAGTGCTTCAGAAGCAAAAGACAAAAAATAGAATATGAAACATGCAGCCTTGCGTCCAGTTTTAAACTCTTAGGGCAGAGATGCCTAGTCTTACACACTGGAAATGTCGAGGCACACGGAATAATATTGTTTAAAAACACGATCTGAAATATTGCCTAAAATATTAAAATACTGTTTTAAAATATTATTTAAAATAGTTGACATTTAGGGTGTTTATTTAATAAACATAGGGTGTCCCGCCCAAACAATATTTTAAATAATATTTTAAGAGTTATTTAAAATGTTTAATGTTTAAACTATCTTAATCAATATTCCAACTTTGTTTAAAATATTAAACGATATTTTTAAAGACCCATTAATTGATGTGCATGGACATATTAAAAGCAAAGACATATTAAGGCAATATTCTTATATTGCCTTTGAATTGCAAGAATTCATAATTGTTGACAACCACGTCCCCGGATTATGATTACAGTAACAGGGATTGATTGATTGATTGATTGATTGAAGCAGCGGCACTGAAAGGAATTAAGAGGCTGCCGTTGCTTACTCAGAATTGCGGGGAGCGCTTTTCAGAGGCTGGAAAAGGGGCCGCGTTTTAGGACCCTTCCCGAGCAAAAATTAAAGAGCCCAGAAAGTGCATCGATTGCGCTCCGAATTATGTTCGCGGGAACAAGAGCGGCGTCGCGCCCGAAGTCCCGCACATCCGAACCGCTCCGGGCTATGCGTGGCCGATAGGTCTCTTTGCAAGCTCGCCGGGTTTGCAAACGCGCCGTGCAAGCTCGCCGGGTTTGCAAAGCGCTCCTTGCAAGCTCGCCGGGTTTGCAAACGCGCCGTGCAAGCTCGCCAGTTCTGCGGGAAAAAAGTCGGTTCGGGGGCTGCAAAATATGGAACGCTTCACGAATTTGCGTGTCATCCTTGCGCAGGGGCCATGCTAATCTTCTCTGTATCGTTCCAATTTTAGTATATGTGCTGCCGAAGCGAGCACAAACTCGCCGCTTCTCCGGAGACTACTTAAACCCACTGCGGAAAAGTACTTGCAAGTTAGAGCCGACAGTTCGTAATTTAGAGGAAGGCTGTCCGAAGTTTACCGAGAGAATTACGCCGGCGCTTTTCGGCCCCCGAACCCCGAATGCGCGATTTGCCCGCCCCGTCCAAGCGCTCTTTTGGCTTTTGCCCCTTTGCCAAGCGGGTAGCCACTATGCAGATTCGGGAGCCGCGGCGCCGCCCAGGCGCTGTCCCGGGACAGCCGGTCCACCGCCGCCGCCGGGCGCGCCCCCTCGGCCCGCAGAGCGGGAGCGGAGCCAGCGGCGCGCCGATGGACGCGCATCGCGGCGCCCGAGCCAGCGCCCGCCTGCCTGCCTG